GGCTTTCTGCAGTGGTTTCTAACCATCTCTCAAACATGTGTTTTCTCCAGTCCAGTCTCCACTCTCGTGGACTTTCTAAAGCACAAATCTAACCATGTTTCTCCTCTTCTTGTCATCCTTCAATCAAAATAGGACATCCCGACCCTCCCTCACGTTGGCTCTCACCTCTTTGCTGCATTAGAGAGTGCACAGGTGACCTGGATTAGCCAAAGACATAGCCAACCACGGCCAAAGGAGCCACTGAGAAACCTCCAAAGACAACTGCTAATAACGTTCACACACTCTAGTTAAGAAGTGAAAATAAACTGGCATTCCCGAATCCAGTGATAATTAATATCCCTGGTAGAAATAATCAGAATAAAAGAAATTTGACAATGTCTACAGCAGCCCATGATAAAATGTGTGACAGACGAATTTATGGAAAAGAACAATTTCTGATGGATAGCAACGGAAACTGCATAATTTGGTATGGAGAAGAAAATAGAATTAGTAAACCACTCATCACCACTCATCCACTGGCTAACTAACACAGACCATGATAAAATGTGTTAATGACTATATATTGATAGAAGAATCTGGTGTTGCAAAATCTGACTTGGGACATTTGAACTTGGTAAAATTAGTGGTTTCACAGGAAACTCAGAATGGCAGAAGCTATAGTTTTTAAAAACTAATAGAGGTATAACCTTCATTATAGAATTTACATGGGAAATAATTGATCCCAGGGAAAATTATTTTAGAAAAGTGAAAATGGAAAAAATTGGAAATGGTTTAATGATACTATATTTAAAAATTATCCAAGAAATTAAAGTGGTCCAGTGGGGTCCACTCCAGAAACCTCTTTCTCAGTGAAAGGTTGTCAAGATTGGCAAAGTTCTTATTTAAATATTTGTATTGTTAGACACATAGTAAAAAGTTGACCTGGGGGCTCAAAACTGCAGTGTCAAAACATCCTGTACTCCCACCAGTCACCAGACTCTACAGGGGCCCGGGACACTTCCCCAAGCCAAGGTCAGCTCTTAAGGGAAAAGCAAGTCCTAGGCAGCAATTTCTCTCCCTCTTGTCCTCAAGGCCAGTTCTTTCAGCACTTCCATCCAATAGTCTCAGATACAGCCGTATTTTAAGCTTTGTGAATCAGAAGAAAAATCAATTTCTTCTGTGACCACAATAGTACAGTCCCTCATCTCTGCCCTGTACGCTCCATGACTGAGCAACCGAGAGGGATCTCTGCACCTTGTAGGGTCTAGAAAGTTCCCTCGACAACCAGTTCATTCTCAACCAGCTCTGGAAACATAGGAACAGCATCACAAGACCCGTCCTACGAAGCCACTCACGAAGTCTCGTCCGAGGCCCCGGGCTGCCCTGCTGCCCTCTCTGTTGCAATCACACAGACGTCCCAGGCACCGGCTCCAACTGACAGGTTCATCATAGTTTAATGTGGGGACTGGCATTTAACTGGGCTCTCATCTTCCCTTCCTTCCATGCTCTAGAATATCAAAAATATAATCCTGCCAGAAAGGTGATATTGTTTTCTGATGTGTCAAGCATTTCTGAAAAGGACAAGATTTACTGCTCAAACTTCTGTATGATGTTTGAACAAAAACACCGTGGTGGCATTTAAGTCTCTCTCCTGGAGTTTGTCAGGTAGTCAAACTCCAGGAAATAAAACAATCTCCTCAGACTGTTGCTTCTCTAAGCCGAAAGGCATGTGTCTGTCCCTAGAGGTACCTCGGGGTCCAGTGCGGAGACTGGCCTGCCTGGAGGAGACACACTTGTGGGGGACAGTAGCTGTAGGTCGAGCTAGGGAGGGGCCACCACCGTGGCCTCCCGCCACAGCCGCTCCCAGGCTGCTGATGGAACACCGCTGAACACAAAGACGGCACGAGTGGCAGCAGCACAGCGCTGGGCGGCGCCTCCACCAGAGGCACCGCAGGCGTGACCTCAAGAGCACAGGTTATAGTCAAATGTAGTAAAATGACTGAGAGGGGGTGGGTTTTGCCTGCATATTGCTTTTATTTTTGCTATAACTTAATTGTAAGTTTACATAACTTCAGTTTTGATAATACCTGTGTTGAACAACTGTTTAGCAAAACCACTAGAAACAGAACGATTGGCTCTCGTAGCCCTCTATGTGCCAGCTCTAGAACGCCACTAGCTGGGAAGGAAGAAATGTGGGCATCACGTGGCAGCCAAGAGGCCAGTTCCCAGCACAGGAAGACACTCCTGCGGCATCCAGAGCTAGGTGGGCAGAAGTAAGAGGATCAGAAATGACCACGGACTGGGCAGGGGGGCAAGCCTGGAAGATACTATTTTCTTGTGGCTGTTTGACCCTGTGTCTATTTCTGGATTATGGGAGCAACTGAAACCCAATCCGAGGTGGCGGCACTGAGGTCTTCTTGCGCTACGAATGCATATGTGAAATACTCCCATTACGTGCTGCTCCCACACGGCAAGGCCGCTCCCTGCCACGCCCTTTCCCTGGGAATGCCTGGCTGTGTCCTGATGAATCTCTTGCCCGCCCAGATCCTCCTCTCCTCCGCGTGAGGCGCGCCAAGTCACAGGCACGGTCCGGATGCGTCTTCCAACGCCCACGGCGACTGCAGCCTGAGCGTCCGGGGCAGAGGCAGCCCCAGGATATCCGGCTGGACCAGCCACTCCAAGGTCTAGAGAAGGTTCTGCCAAAAGAGGCATTTACCGGAGCACGTTTTGGAACACAGCAGCCCAAGTCCAAGAGAAGAAAGGGTTACGAAATGGATCTGTGTGATGGCACGGTGTGAGTGCAATTAATTGTTGTCAAAGCATTTTCCTGGCTGTATTCATCTCTGACGTAGGAGAACAAAACTGTCATAATGACGACAACTTTACTCAGCATTAGTGCAATTACCAAGCCTAAAACAGGAAGCAAAGGGGAGATTTTCTTGAAAGGGCCGAGCTCTGCTCCCCATGTCGCATGCTGGGGACAGCCTGACCCCAGGATGGAGGGAGGGAAGGAAGGAAGCTCAGATTCACTGAATGTTGCCATGTGCTACTATGAGAAGCATTTTAACCGTTTTCTCTCTCCATAATCAATCCTCCCTCAACTCTGTGGACGGGCAGTGGGCCGAGCACTGAGGGCGCAGGTTTATTGAGCATCCACTAGGAGACGGGCTCTCTGCTACAAGCATTCTACACACAATTTACTTTAATTATCACAACAACTCTCAAGGGAGGTATCATCACCCCCACTTAACAGCCGAGAGTGTTGAGTCTTAGAAAGGTTAAGGAGCCTGCACAAGATCCCACAGCCCAAACCCGTCTAATCAGTCGCCTGCTTTTAGGGTCATTGCGAGGGTTGGGTGAGACCGTGGTGCACACACTTAACTCAGTGCCGCGCACAGCATGCCTGCTGTGCCACCTGTGCCCGTTCCTTCTGTTTTTGTCATCATGATTAGCTTCTCCCAGGAACTGAAAATTTGCTGAAACTCCCAACAGATCACTGGAATTATTTCCCAGTCATAACTTGCGGGAGGGAAATACCTGGATGTTTCTCTTCCATAAACATAAGAGCTCCCTAACCTCCTAGAAGCGAGGAGCTTTTAAAACTTTTAAAGAATTGCCTTAAAGAACCTGCCAAAATAAAGCAGATCTGAAGCCAGTCCAAGAAGGAAAAGAAAACCAAGCTGCCAAGCCTTTCCTCGAAAGCTCCATTTTTAAAATTTCCTTTTCTCAAAAAGCCAATGGTATAAAATCTACTTTTCTCAAAAAATCAACACTACTAATCAAATCTTAGCAGGCCCTTAAGCTACTCTGGCAACTTTCACATGTGATGGAAAGCACATGGGGTTTTCTAAGTCATATGATCTGAGTTCGAAAGGTAGGTCTGCCACTGCTGTGTGACTATAAGCAATCCCCTTACCCTCTCTGAGCCTCAGCTTCCTCACTTACAAAATGGGAAACAGAATAATATCGACTTCTTAGCACTGTGACGAGGGTCAAGTAAGAAGATGCAAAAGCAATCTGTAGAATATAAAACACTACATAAATGTGAATTATTATTTACTACTAAGAGAAATGACATCAAATTGAATGCTCAATCACAACAAATAGAGAACCTTAGGAAGGTGGTATCTCTGTGTCCTTTATAAGTCTGAATTTCCTATTTCCATTTTAATAGTCTTTGTGTACTTGTGTCTCCTATTATGAGACACTTCAAAATCTTTTTGGAAGGAGTCAAAGTATAAAAACAAACAAGTGGCTGGGCATAGTGGCGCACACCTGTAATCCTAGCACTCTAGGAGGCTGAAGTGGGAGGATCACTTGAGGTCAGGAGTTTGAGACCAGCCTTAGCAAGGGCAAGACCCCATTTCTACAAAAAATAGAAAAATTAGCTGGGTGTGGTGGCTCACCCCTGTAGTCCCAGCTACTTGGGAGGCTGAGGCAGAAGGATCACTTGCATATAGGAGTTTGAGGTTGCAGTGAGCTATGATGACACCACTGCACTCTAGCCTGGGTGACAGAGTGACACCCTGTCTCAAAAAAAAAAAAAAAAAAGAGCAAAGCAAAAAACAGAAGCAAAAGCTCCATGGTGAGAAGTAACATTCAGTTCACCCTCTCTATTCAGCTGCAGCTGCAAACAGCTGTAGGGTTAGCTTTGCCGTCTGCAGCCTGCAAGCCAGGGCCTGTCTCTCTGGTTGAGGGAGCTAGTTGTCTCAGGAAGGTAGCCAAAGCCAGAGCCAAGCCGCCCTACAGGTGACTCTACTCCCAACAACAGGCACCTAGCCAGGAGAAAGGCCACTGGCCAAGGGGAAGCCTTCTTCCAAAAATAATCACCTCAGTTTCTCCAGTTTCATACCATTAACCACAGAGAGGAAGTCTACATTTTGTTTGCCATGGAATTTTTAGAAGCGCAATGCCTTTTGGAAAATTTGCCTTTTCTACCTACCAGTTTGCCAACCATATATAGAAGAATCCAGCTTGCAATGAGGTTGAAATGTGAGCGCCGGTTAGGTGAGACACTCGCGTTGTCGCTGCATTTTAATAAACATAGCGCACAATGTGTGACACAAACACCACTCAAACCTGAGTCACAGGTTTCAGATGAAGCTGGGTACATGTATAAATAGCCTGTATATGTTAAACAGCAGAAAAGAAAGGAAGTTGGGGGGAATAAGGTCAAAATCATTGTGCTCAATTTAGACATCATGAAAGTCCCAGCCTTGCCATTCTGCACAGCCCAGCACAACCCACACCCAGGAGAAAGAGAATGCCACACGGGAAATTCTAAGTAAGCCGATGTCCTCGTGTTGAACTAAACAGCACAAACGATGCGGCATCATAAGACGAGTTACACTGATGGCGGCTCACTTCCTGGCTCCGGGATGCCTGCAGCGCCGAGCACACGCTCCCCGGGCTTCCTGGGCTCGGAACTGTCTGGGGACCTTTATGAGAAGGTAGCTTCCACTAGTGTTGACCAATTGATTTGCATTAAATGACTCGGTGATGGTTTGGGGAAGCAACAGAAGAAAACAACTTGTGGTGGAGAAGAACTAACACCTTGAGCATGTTGCAAACGTCTTAAAACCCGTTCTCCCGCTGCTCCCTGTCCCGGCCGGAAACGGCCCGCAGGCTCCGGGCTGGTGGCGGCTGCAGGCAGACCCGCGCCCCAGCCCGCCCGCGCCAGGTGAGAGGCGTGGCCACGGCTTGGAAGAAAACACTGGAACAAGAGTCTCGGGCAGTCCAGACATCCTTGAGGCCTTCCCCCGCGGACGTGGCCTTGGCTCTAGGTCACTCCTTTCCTCAGCAGGCTCCTCCAGCCTTCCCGCCTCCACGCCGCGGGCCAGGGGCGCAGCGTGCACTCGCAAGGCGCTGTGCCATGCAGCGGGTTCAGGAAACCGCAGTCCCCTCTCAGAAGCGGTTTAGTGTTTCGTCACCCACTGCCCCACAGCCGCGACGCTCAGAAGGGCTCAGCAACTGTGTGTGGGGTTCGGACGCCAAAGACCATGATACACGGCAACAGCAGACGCGCAGGGTCGAGTCGCCCGGCTGCCGCGAGGCTCCGCTCGGGTCGGTGGCACCGCCTGCTGCCGGCCTCTCTCCCAGGTCTCACTCTGGTCCCTCCTCCAGTCACCAGCAGAAACGGACTCCTCAGCCTCAGGCCGCCCCTTCCCAGTCTCTGATGACGCGCATGGTCTTTGCATTAAGAGCTCACTAGCGTGTAGATCATGCTGAATGCAAAAAGGAAAGGAACAGGTGTTAGTGGGAGCCCACGAAGGACTCAGGCCAGCCCTCAAAGGAGGGAGCTTCCCAAGGCCAGACCCCTTGGCTTCTCCTCCTTCCTGCCACTAGTGCATCTTGTCCGCCCCTGCCAAGACCCTACACTGGAATAAACACTTGTTAGGAGAGCATACCGCGTCCCTTGGATAAAAGCTGTGATTTCTCTAAGTACCTATTACTGTTCTCATCAGGGTGATTATTATGGTTCTCGTTCCTTTCTGTGCAATTGCAGGGCAGGTCTGGGCAGGAGGAGCACCGCGCACTCTTTATGCCACCAGCTGCCAGTGCTCGCGTGACGGCTGTGTCCAGGGGCTCCCAGACGATGCTGGGTGACTCACTAGCGCTGGAGAAAAGTCCATCCTCACCAGCGTGAAGGCCAATGTATGAACACAGCCCTCTGGGCATGTGAACCAAATGAATTGTTAATTGGGTAACTCCCTAGCCCTCTGGTTTTTAACTGGCTCAAGGAGGTAAACATGCACTGTGAGCATGTGACCTAAGGCGTTGCCCCAACACTGCCAAGGAAGCAGGGACAGCTGTCTCTGTGCTCTTGGAAAGGGCTTCAGGCTAATTCTGCAAGGCTGAGGAACGACCCACACCAAAACCTACTATTTTGTCTATTTGGCAGAAAGAGAAACAACTGCTTTTTCATGTTATAGAGAGAGGAAAAAAGGACAGTCTAAGAAGTGAGACCGCAAGGCAGCTGACAGGCTCCACTCCAGCCCTGTGAGGCCGAGGCCGGCAAGCTGTCCTGCAGAGCCGGAGCCCGTCTCCAGAGCCGCTCCGCCCCGGGCTCGCGGAGCGCCGCCAGTCGGGCCGGAGCTCCAGGGGCTTAGTCCGCGTGAGGAAGTGGAGGGTCAGAGGAAAGGTGGCTTGCTCAAGGCCACACAGCTCAGACGGCAAGGTGAGGAGCCACGTCCTCACTCCAGATCTGCTGCTTGCCTCAGTGTGGACAGCTCCGTTTACTCATTTTCAGTCATTCTTTCATTTAACATTTAATGAGCACCTACTGCATCCAGGCCCCACTCTTGGTCCCTGAGCAAGCCTACAGCCAAGCTGTAAGGAGCGAGGAGGATCCAGGGAGCACTTGCTCGTGCCAGGCCCCGGCTGGGACACTGCAGATGCAGAGGGGAGTGAAACCGCCAAGGTCTCTGCCATCCGGAGACAAGTAAACCAATAAGTAACATCATTATAGATGGACAGAAATTAACCTGAGAGACGGGCATGACCCAGAGTCACAGGGCAGGAGGATGGTGCTACTTTCAGTAGAAAATATCGGCCTGCTTTACACTCTTGGATCAAAAAGACTTTTCTGTTGAGAAGTGTCGGCATGGGACTCACTAGCTATTAATAGAACTAGTAGCAGTGTTAGCTAGTCCCTGACCCATGTAACTCACAAACGTCACCTGTCCACAAGGCTAACTGAGAAGGGGTGGCAGTGGGTGCCATGTGGTTAGCACAGCATAGTGGAAAGTGCACAGGCCCCAGAGCCAGGAAATTTGCTAATTATTAGCTGGGACCTTGGACATATTTCTAGTCACCCTGAGGTCCTCAGGAACCCTAGTAACCTCAAGCCATGAAGCGCCAAGCCCACTGCCTGCACCGCTGTCACGTGAGTCCCCAGCCCTGCGCTCGGCCAGGCGCAGCTCTGCGCACCGTGCGGCGGCCGCGGCCTGGCTCGCAGCCCTGTGCCCCACCAGCTCTGCACCTGACGTGCTGGGAGCTCCCGGGGCAGGAGAAACAGGGTCTTTGAACAGCCCCAAAGAGTCCCAAGTTCAACAAAGAATATGGGAGCCCTCGGGGGGCCACCAGGGGCTGGTGAGGCTGGAGGAACAGCTGTTTCCAATTTTGTCTTGGAAACAAAGTAATTAACAAATGTAACATGAAGGCTGTGCCCAACTGGAGCAATGAACTAGAGCAGCGGTCCCCAACCTTTTGGGCACCAGGAAACGGTTTCATGGAAGACAATTTTTTCAGATGGGTGTTGGAGGATGGTTTCAGGCTGACTGGAGCGCGTCACATTTACTGTGCAGTCAAACCTCTCTGCTAATGACAATCTGTATTTGCAGCCACTGCCCAGCACTGCTGGCGCTATCACCGCCTCGCTCCACCTCCCACCCTCAGGCATCAGATTCTCATGAGGAGCCACATCCTAGATCCCTTCACGCAGTTTACAGCAGGGCTCCCGCCCGGGGAGAGTCTAATGCAGCTTCTGACCTGGCAGGGGCGGAGTTGTGCGGGGATGCGAGTGACGGGGAGCAGCTCCAAATACAGATGAAGCTTCCCTTGCCCGCTGCTCACCTCCTGCAGCCCAGTTCCTAACAGGCCACAGACTGGGACCAGTCTGCAGCCTGGGGCGGCTGGGGACCGCAGAACTACAGGACAGACAAACAGAATGTCTGGAACATACTCTGTTACAGAAGGATCACACCCATCTAGCAGGTGGGGAGCTGCAAAAACCACCCACACCACCCTCCCACCCCTGCAGCGAGTACACACAGCCGCTTTGCTCTCTGTGACTTCATATGCCTCCTTCCCCATGCCTCCTGGGGCTCCAGCAGTTACTGTGACGAAAATGAATGAGGGAGCTGTCCTGCCCCAATCTCCATCTACACCAAGGTGGATCCCAGGCCACTGGGGCAGGAGGCAGAGAAAGCTGGCCTTGTTCTGCAGAATTTGAGGAGAGACAATCCTGTCTCTGGGGACAGGCCACTCAGCCTACTAATCTGCAGAAGGGGCAGTCTGCAGCCGCACAGAGAAATGAGGTTGAACACACTCCAGAGAGGAAATCTATGTTTCAAGGTGTCATATCCCGAAGGCGACAAGGGCTTTGTCCACCACCTATAGGCTTCCCAAGACAGGAACCTGTCTATGAGTCTTTAGTTATTAAAGAGTTCAGACCTGGAGTCAGAAAGGCTTGGGTGAACCCACTGGGCACCTCAGAAATCTCCAGAGGCTTCAAAGACCCTCAGACTCCCTACAAGTTGGGGCAGGAAATGCCCTAGAGCACCCCACTGAGGACGTCACCCTGAGCCTGGACCAGCCCTGGACTCCAAGAAGAATGTGGAAGGGTAACCCTGAAACCCCTCCATGGCTGAGTTATTCCAGGGGAAGTTATGACTCCAGGGCCTCTGAGTCTGCAGACACTGGGAAGACAGAGGGAAGGAAAGGCAGAACCCAGCAGAACTCTCCAGAGTGGCCAAGGTGTGCATCACAACTGTCTGAAAAGCTCATTGAAAATGCAGGAGCTCAGCCCCAGAAAGTCGGAATTGGTAGATCTAAGCCCAGGAATCTGTACTTTTAAGAAGCAGGGTGAGAAGCAAGATGGCAGATAAGAAACACTACCAGACAGAGTGTCTCTGCAGAAATGACAGATTCTAGGAGAAATCAGAAGAAAGAAGCAAGCAGACAGGCATACATTGGACAAAGGTTGGAAGGAGGGGTACCTGAGACCACCACGGGAGACCCCACGGGAGGAGGATGTGGAGGAGAACTGGAGGCTGAGACATCACGAGTAGCCTGGAGACCAGCGGCAAGGGGAGGTGGCGCAGTTAACTCTCCCCTCCCCTGCATCTCCAACTGCTGGTGGGCTCCCCAGCGGTCGGAGAGACCTGCGGACACCAGCCCAGAGACAGCACGACCAGCGAGCAGTGAGCCTGTAGCAGACGCGGCACCAGGCTCCCAACTCCCGCGGGCACCTCCGTGTGCACAGACCCGAGCCACGCGGCGGCGCCATATTGCCTCACTCTCCCCTCCCCCAGCCCTATCCCCGGCTGCCAAGAGAGACAATATAGCCACCAGCCGGAGGCACCTCTAGGGAACAGGACCTTCCCATTTGGAGCCCCACAGCTGACTGAGGGGAACTCAGACTGTGAGCTTCCTACCCGCCAGCCCTCCCAGGTGCTGCTGGCACAGTGATCTGAGGAGAACAGGGCAGACCCTCAGGCTGAGAGACACAGACAAAGCTTGGGCTCCCCATGGGTGAATTGGGACCAGCACTCCTCTCCCTCGTGGGAATATAGTTTGAACTCTGGGACCCAGAGGTCAGACCTGCAGACCAGATCCCATGCACAGAGGTCTTGCATTGCCTGGGGCACAGAAGGGATATACGTGAACAGCCTACTGAGGTGTGTGTGCCTTCAGGGGCAGATCAGTGTCCTAGAGGGCAACCCTCCTCCCAAAGGGAGGCCGGGTGCCCAGCCCAGGTGGCGTTCCTGCGCAGGGACCCTCCCGGCCGGCATTACAGCCAGGGTAGGCCTGCTGGCATGAGGTCTGGCCTGCTAACAGAGGCCCAGGAGTAGCCGTGGAGTTGGGGAGGGTGGAAAGAAGCGAGGCCCACTCCAGACTGCGGGTCTCAGACAGCCCCACCCCCACACGCAGACTCTCTGACTGAGCCTGGCCACTCCAGCCCCTCCCTGGCAGCTTTTCCTGGAAGCAGAAAACAGAACTTTGACCCCTGCTAACGGCATTGGTGGTGCCTGAGGGCAGGCTTACCAAACCCAGCTCTGCTCAGACTCACTCACAGAATAGCCCTCACTGAGGGGAAGAAAAGGACACACCTGGAAGTCCCAGGGCCCCACCCACCACCTGAGACACTAGAGTTCTCTCTACAGGAACAAGAGCTGATAACAGGTCACAAAAACAACAGCGTAGCCTGTTCCTCCAAGCAAGCGCCACCTACTGACAGGGACGGCATCCTGCACAGCCTTTTCACGGCACCTACAGACTCCTCATACAGGGAGTGGTCAAATCTCACCCACAGACACCACCTACCGGCTCAGAAACTAAACAAGGTGTGTGAATACCCAAACAAAAACCTAAAGGAAAGAATCAATAACTGATCAACATGAGAAGAAATTAGCGAAGGAACCCCAGAAATATGAAAAACCAAATGGAAACCACACCCCCAAAGAGGAGCACCAGCCCCTTAGAAACGGACACCAACCAAAAT